ACTATTAAAATAAAATTATTTCAATTAAAAGTAAGAGTTTTAGGCCACTATATCGAACACGGGAATATTGTCCCGATTGAAAGAAGTATTGAATTTGCTTCCAAATTTTTCAATGAAATTAAAGATAAAAAGTAATTACATAGGTTTTTTTGGAAGTTTAAATTACTTAACCGATTTTTATCAAAATCTTGCACAAGACACTACTATTTTATGTTCTACACTCAAGAAGAATCCGTTTCTTTGGACAGATCTTATGTCCATTGCACAAGACACTACTATTTTATCTTTCAAAGCTAAATATTTACCATGTCTTTCATTAGTTAATCCAACTTGGTGTAAAATTACTGAAACTGATGCTTCAAATAAAGGATATGGAGGTAGTCTTAAACAAAAAGATCCAAATTTTCATAAATTATTACTTGTCAGATTTACTTCGAGTAAATGGGAATCTACTCAGTTAAACTACTCTACTATTAAAAAGAAAAGTTTATCTATTATTAAATGTATTAGTAAATTTCAAGATGATTTATTAAATCAAGAATTTTTACTCAAAATTGATTGTAGTTCTGCCAAAAATATTTTAGAACAAGATGTAAAGAATATTACATCTAAACAGATCTTTGCACGATGGCAAGCAATCTTATCTGTTTTTGATTTTAAAATTAAATATGTTAAAGGATAATTAAATTCCCTTCCCGACTTTCTAACTAGGGAATTTTTGTGGGGTCTTCATGAATCGAGGCCAGAGTAGTTCCCATGACAGAGGCCGCAATAGAGGAAGGTTTGGCGGAAGAGCCCAAGTCAATACTTATTATCCCCCTTTGACTGAATCACGAAAGCTTAAAGTTGTTAATAATCAACTTCTTAAAAAAGGATATTCATCTGCTCATAAAGGAAAATCCTCATCTTCATATAAAAATGATGATGAAGGTTATATCGTCGTTAGATCTAAAAAATCTATTAAAGATGCTCTTGTAGCCAAACCTAAATTAAATTATACAGAGTTAAATACTCTGCCCATTTATAGTAGTATAATGACTCTTGATTATGAATATGTTAATTAGATGACCGATCCGTATTATATCGCTAAAAAATTCATGACCTTGGATAAAAAAATTTTATTCTTTGGGTATAAAGACAAAGAGTATTATGAAAATATTTTGATAGAAACTGACTGTGTTAAATTTCAGAGATTCTTTAACTATAATTCAGATTATAAAGATCCCCAATATAGTATGACCCTTATATTAAGGGTAATATCTGCTAAAGACTGGGGTTTTGACCTTGTTCTCCCTAGAACACTAAGAACCTCTCCATATACGAAGTATAATTATTTTGATTATATTGATACTTGGAATAATATTTTTCTATATGAAGTCATAAATTTAAAGCATTCATGATTCTTCCAATTCACTGAAACTTGTACTGAAATTCCTAACTAGTTTTATGATTAGTGAGAAATTCATAGTGCTATTGATAGGATATACCCTGAAAAAATAAAAAAATTATTTGACTTATATAAAGACAAAAATTCGTCCTTAAAGGATAATGATATAACAACTAAGCCAATTATCAATTTTTCACTCGAATTATTTGTTTCATGGATTTGAGTGCGGACATTGGCTTGTGATTTTAATCATAACGGATATCCCAGATTAATCAGGGAATATCACATTCGTTACTAGAATAATTATCTAACTGACTCTAAATGTCAGATTATTGACAAATGTCTTAAAAACATGGGAAAAGAGGAAGAAAAACCTTCATCCTCTACTCCTATAATTCCCACTCCCAATATAAATACTGAAACTAATTTCAATTTTGTTGAAGTTCTTAAAGAACTAATTAAAAAGGAAAAATCTCATTTAAATACTGAGCAGCTTAAAACAACAGTTATAGCGAAGTTTCGTCTTCAAGTGATGTCTACATTTGGAATGGACAAAATCGAAAAGATGGATCTCATCAACACTCTTACAGTTACCATAAAAGGCAAAGGGAAAGATAGAGTTGAGGAGGAAGATAGGTAATCCCCTACTCCTATTGACTCTGATGACAATTTTATGAATTCTCAGGAATATACCCCTCTTAAAGATGACATTACTATTAATGAAAATTTACTAAATGATGATATAGAGATAAACCTTCATAATGACAGCGGTAATATGTTGTATAATTTGTTTTACATGAAATGATCAAATAAAACTAATTTCTCGGATAAAGCCGACCATAAAGAAGTAACGCACGTTCTGACGTCACTATAAAAGGTTGTTAATGGTGTACAGTATTACTAATGTATGCAATGACGTCAATATAAATTATTAAAGTCATGAACAGTATAAAGTTGTGAATAGTACAAGTTAGTTTTGAAATCCGGATTTCATGTCCAGCTTCTATATGAAGGGGTGTAGGCCCGACCTGTGGAGCACTGCCCCCTTACCAACCATTGACTACCTCTTTCTCTTGCACCCCTTTATATAGAAGCCGGACATAAAATTCGAATTTTAAAACTAACCTATACTATTCACAACTGTATACTGTTCATGACTTTAATAATTTACATTGACGTCATTGCATACATCAGTAATACTGAACACTTTTACTGTACACTATTCACAGTCATTTATACAATTCGTATCTACTCCACTGTCAATTAAAACAATAGTTTCGCCAGTAAATTCAGAATTTATGACTAATATGATTTTAACATACCATTTCTGATAAGTTATTTTTTCTAATACATTTAAGTATTCACTATTAAAAAAGTGTGATGGTGATGCTTTTATGTCATTTTTTATGTCACTTTCCTTAAGTGACATTTTTTCTAATGCTAAAAATTTAGCATTTATGACTTTTATGTCTTCTTTTAACATGGTGAATTTCTTTTCTTAAGTCTTGTACCGTAGTATGAGAGACTTCTTTTATATGAAGTGGATTATCATTCATGTCACTTTCTGTCATATTAAGGATTTTTTTAAGGAATAAGGTTGAAACAAATTAAGTTTCTTTTCTTTTGAATTTATCTCTAAATATTGTTCAATAGTCTTTCTTTTAGAATCTGGATCTTGAATTTTATCTATAAGATCAAGAATAAATATTTGTGACTTAGTCAAAGTATTTATACTTAATTTTTCATGGCTAAAATAGTTTTTTTATAATAGCATGTAGATGAAACATGTCCAATTTTTTCACATTTAAAGCATTTAATAGAGATTTTGTCCTTTTCTTTTAATGAGCTGGTGGATTTGGTAAGCTGTCTTTCTTTATTGACTTCGTCTTTATTATTCTTCCTTTTATGGAAAGATTGGTTTGAATTTTCGTTTAGAAATTCAATATTTGAAATGGTTAAAACTTTATCATATAGTTCTTCATCACTTAATTCATTGATTTGTTGAGTTTCATGTTTAGATTATTTTAACATGTCTTTTTGAGAAATGATATTTAATTTTTTCTTGAGTTCATTTATAAACTTGATTTCTTCAATATCTGGATAATTAAAATTTATTTTTTCAGAAATAAAAAACTTTTTTGATCTCATTTAACTGATGTATATTAAAAGGAACATAATAGGTTAAAAGCCATGTAACAAAAGAAATTATCTTTTTTTCTCTTTTTATATAAAGGTAAAATATTTCTTTATAATTTTAAAGTTCTTCTGAACTCATTGTTTTAAAATACCAATTTTTAAATTCTTCATACTCAGAAAGATAAAATTCTTTATTACAAGTTTCATTTATTAATTGTAATTCTCTTGAGTGTAAATCCATAGAAACTAAAGTTGGAATTCGATTTCAGATGGAGTTGGATCTAAGTCTTCCTGTAGGGAAGATTCATTGTCTGGTTGATATATATCATGAAGAATATTATTTTTTAAATTTTAATTTCTTCAATTATGAGTTCTTTATCTCTTCTTCGATTTTGGATCGAGGAAATAAATCTTCTAAAATGAGTATAATAAACTGATGAAGTTTCTGATTTATCAGAAGATTTTAAATAATTCCAGAATTAGTGCTAACAAATCTTATCGTAATATCACCTTGGGATGATTTGGGCGATCTGAATTATTTCTTCATTTATCTCTAGTTTTTTAGGAACCACAGACTCCAATTGTCAGGTTTCTGGAAACTGAATTTCTAACAATTTAATGGTTTTAAGAACTTCAATTTTATTTTTAGTTATATTTGTTTCAATTAAAATCGTCTGACCTTTAAGGTTAAGAAGTTTAACTTTAGGACATAAAGTATTCATAATTTTATAATATATTCTATAAGTAAAAACAATGATATATGTGTCATCTTTATAATTATAACCATAAGTTTTAATATTATATGTTAAAACATCTAAAATATTTTTATCTGTTAAAGATACAGAAAGATTAGGAAAACAGTTAAAAATAAATAGGACCAATACTTAAGCTGGACTGCATAACACCCATTAAAGATTGATCAAAATCAAGACATCTAGCATCTCTTAGTGCTAACATAAATGAAACATTTAATCCTTGAAGAGTTAACGGCTTTAATATATTATGCTGATTACCTTCTTCTAGTTTAATTTTGTCTCAACCTTATTCTCTTAAGGAAGTCCTTAATTGAACAAAAAGTGACATGAATGATACAAGACATAAAGAAAATAAATTCCCCGTGTTAAAGAAAACATAAAAGTCATAAAGCCTAGACCTTTAGAAAAATTATCACTTAACATAATATATATAATTTCTCTTACAGTATAGTTTCGTTAAAAAAGAGATAAAAATTTTCTACCAACCAGGCAAAATGGAAAATGATTTTCTTGTAAAAAATATCAGATGTATGACAATCATGTACAGATAGATGTATGACTCCAAATCCGCCAAATGTCTGGACCAATTCATTAACCACTTAACTACGTATAAGACAATCATGCATGGACCGATGCTCAGCAATGAAGAATCTTCTGATTATAGTATAGTTCATTAACAGCTTCCAAAACAGCAAGGCTTCCACATCCAGAGGAGGGTCCCTCAGAATTCTCTATCCAGGTATCAATCGACTTATGCCGTGTCATCTTCGTAACATATCTCAATAGGTCGGTTTTTTGTCAATTACCTATTATAGCTATTCTTCTTTATTCACACTTGAGACCGATTATATAAAAGATTGGCATTAAAAACAACACAGACGGCAATATTAAAAAACTATCGAATTGGAGAATAATTCATCCAGCTAAAATGGGTTGTTTGTGTCTTAACATTCATCCAACCCGTTTATTATTTGTGTTAATGAGTTGTGCTATTTTCGAGTTTAGTTTGTATTACTTTCGTATCAATTGGTAAAATTGAACCAACCCCCACTTGTCTTTGTGCACTGAAATTATGTCTTGAGCTTGTTGCATTGATACAAGTCCAAGCAGACAAATCAGAGTCTCACGAGGCATTTAATTCTCCTTCTACACATAAGAAGAGAGCTCAGAAATGAAAACAAAGGTAAGGGGAGAGCAATGGAGACAGAAGTGATTGGCAGAAGAGACTTTGGTGGTTCACTACCTGTTGATAATGTTCAAGCCCTTGCTTCCAAGAACTTGGGGGATATACCACCACGGTATATCAGGCCAGAGGTCGAGGTCAGTGAAGATTTAGTCGACGAGTCTCTCCAAATTCCAGTGATTGACATGGGCAAGCTTGTGAGTGACCAGTTTGGCTATGATGATGAATTGGCAAAGCTTCATCAGGCTTGCAAAGAGTGGGGCTTCTTTCAGGTATATCAGATGTAATCTTTCTCTACTTGGTGCATATTTTGTGTATAAGTAGCTATTCTGTTCTGTTACAGCCTTACAGGCCTTAATGCTATTCAGTCATGTGACTGGAGAGTTTGATTCCCAAACTTGATCCGATGTATCACTTGGGACAGATGAGGACTTTTCTTCTCTTCTCTATTCTATGTAATTGTATTTTTATCATCCACTGTTTTTACATCAAAGTGTTACAGTTTTATGTATCTGTGATTGTAAAACAGTTGATCAATCATGGAGCATCGGAAGCAATCGAGAAAATGAAGGTGGTCACAGAGGAGTTCTTTGAGCTGCCTTTAGAGGAGAAGATGACCTGTGCACAACTCCCAAATAATATTGAAGGTTATGGCCAAGCCTTTGTTGTATCAGAAGATCAGAAGCTTGACTGGGGTGACATGCTCTTCCTTATGCCCCTACCAGTCTCTCACAGAAACATGAGATTTTGGCCCATGACTCCCACTTCATTCAGGTACATAAGGCATCGCAAACAAATTTTTTTCTCACAAACCAATGTGAAAATATAGCTTGGACCTGCAGTATTTCGAGAAAGAATAAGCTTTGGTCAGCAAGACATCTAGTTAAAATCAAAATTTCCATGTTTCAGAGGGATTCGGAATGAAAATTCCCCAAACACAACTGTTTCTGAAACGTTTTAGCTTTTAAGCTAACCGAAACTATGCACTAAATTTTGATCCTTGGTTAGAACTCTGATTTCTTTGTGTGGTATATATCAGATCAACCTTGGATGAGTACTCGTCAGAGCTGCACAAAGTTTCAATTAGCCTCTTCAGCTTGATGGCTAAAAATCTTGGTATTGATTCTGAGAAGCTCACCAGCTTGTATGAAGATGGCAGACAAGGGGTGAGAATGAATTACTATCCACCTTGTGTGCAGGCAGACAAGGTTATGGGCATCACTCCACACTCCGACGCCACAGGAATGACCCTGCTGATTCAAGTTAATGAAGTGCAAGGACTGCAAATCAAGAAAAACCATAAATGGATACCTGTTAAACCTGTTCCTGGTGCAATTATTATCAACATTGGAGACATCATGGAGGTACTCAACCCAAAAACTAATGTACAATAACCATTATCTTCACAAAACACAATGTATATTATCATTTTCCTGCAAAGTATACCGAAAGACTGTTTTCGTGACTTGAACTAATTGACAATAGAAATACTTAAGGTATCACGTAGTCACATTCCACGATTATGAAGATTCTTGGAGGTTAAAATACCAAAATTGTGGGTATTTTACTGTGAAGCTGGATTTGCAGAAAGTTATAACATATGAGATGCATTTTTCTTTCATTTGAATGCAGATTATGAGTAATGGAGAATACAGCAGCATTGAGCACAGAGCTGTTGTGAATTTTGGAAAGGCTCGACTTTCAATTGCTGCATTTCACAGTCCAAATGTAAGTACCAATATTGGTCCTCTGGCAGATCTCATGAGAGAGAGTGGAGCAAAGTATAAGACATTGAGCAATGACAACTATGTGAGATTGATTGTTTCCAGCAAACTTGATGGTAAAAGCCTTCTGAATCATATGAGAGTTATGCAGTAAGAAGAAAAAAGTAGAATGCTTGTGGAAGAACTGTTTTTTTTTTTTTTTATGTTGATCAGAAAGTATGTCAATGAAAGAGATGATGGCGCAGTGCATGCAGCTCTCACAGTGACAAGAGTCCTTTGGAAGATTAGATAGCTATTACAGGGACGAGAGGTCCAGAAAGGGTCAGATGTAACACCAGATTCTGTGGACATTGAGAAGACGCTAATCACAAAACCTGTTTGAGTTCCCAACAATTCCAGAGACTTGTTACAGATTCTGACAAAAATAATGTCTCAATAAAAATTAAAATGGCACAAAACTAGGCAACAAAACTGCATTTCATGAATCTTGTTTTTCTCTTTCATGAAGAATTATTTACACAAAATTGATGGAAACAAGGATTTCAATCTAACATCAAAACAATTCGGAAATCATTTGGAGGGAAGCAAGCGAATGAAGCTGCAGGTCGGTGTGTTGCACCATTGGTTGCTTTCGAAGTGAGAATCAATTGAATAATTAAAAATGAGGCACAGGTTCAGATGTCTTCGATGATTGCTCCAAGCTGCCATGGAGGATCACTTTCCTTTGAGCTTAGCTGAATTACTTCTCAATTGCCACCAGCAATTCTGTAGGAGATGTTTAGAGCTTGTATCCTACAAGAAGCATTCGATGCTGACATTGCTTCAAAGAGAAGAGCCGAAAACTGATTCGATTTTCTAGGTCTGCCATTCATCAACTGTTCAATTGAACTCCTTACCACCACTCCAAAAGCTGTCTGATTGGAATGCATGCTGGAAGCTCCATGGCAGGTTAGTTTAACTAGATTATGGGGTGGGTTTCCATTGAATGCCTTCATAACTTTCTGCTGCATCTGGATGTTTCTGCTAAATATCTGTGACTATTGTTTTCGCTGAGCAAGTACATGAAACTTAAAGAAACTAAACTACTGGGAACTGCATCAATATTGTGCCCAACCCTCGGGGAATTAAGTGCCACTGACTTACCCCACAACTAACAAGGCCCAAAATAATCCAAAGGACATGCAGATTGCTTCATTATGCAGTATTTTATCAAAGGATTGTTCACCAACTCTTCATTCATTTACTACCAGTTTCTGGCTGCACCTGGGATTGCTGCAATTTTCCAGTGCCCAGAACCAGCATATCTGCCAAAAAAGAAAGAGTTCCTAAAATGAAGAATGGGAAACTTACAGACCTCTAGGCATTTATGCCCACAAGGATGAGGGATTCATGAGGCTCCAGGCACATTTGGCTAAGAGGACATTCTTTTAACTAATCATACTCTTTTAAGCTACAGCAGAGTACTAACAAATTGGAAGTGTGGAAAATCCACCCACTTCTCTGGTTCATAGAGACTAATTGGCGAGTATGAATTGCTGGTAGGGAGTTTCACCTATGACTTCACGATGCTTACTTAGGTGGTCATTTAACAAAAACCATTCATGAGGCCAATAGATTTGGCTACAAACTTGCACTTTTTTCTCATCTATATTTGAATCAATTCCTCAAATTGAAGAAAATAGTGCCCACTGTAGAACAAGAAAGATAGTAATTTTGAACTACATAAATAGCCAAACAAAACAATGTCAAAACCCAACAATGCAACAAAAGATTAGATGCACACAAGCAACAACTTTCACAAAATAACTATTAACACCCATTCTACAATATTACACCTTACATTATAAATATAAAACCCCAAATTTCCCAACAACCAAAAATCTAGATGCAAAAACCACAAATAACCAAAGATAAATTTTTTTTTTTTTGCTCATACAGAATCAAATTACAAAAAAGAAGTATAATTAGATACAAAAGGGGCATCAGTTCTCCAAGGTGATTTAGCATCAATGTTGTATATTCAGACGCAAATTACCCATTTATTAATGAGATTCATCATCTGCCCATCCATATAAAAAAGTAAATGAAGAACACAGGTATAATTATTAGACCGTACACATGCATAAATGTGTGTGTGCGTGTGAAATTTTTCGTAATAAGGGAAGAATGAATAAGCGATCAGAACCTGTCGGGATTCACACTTAACATAAGACTATATATATCAGTGGATTGACAGACTCATGAATTCTATCATCATCTCGCTCTTATTCTTCTCAAATCTTCCAAGAAAAAAAAATTGAGAGAGAGAGAGAAGTGGTCAGAACTTCTGAAGAGGTTTTGTTGCCATCAACGAACGAGTCGTAAGAGACCCATCTCTGGCAAGCAGATTTCAGATCTTCTTCAGAACACATAATATTTACAAAAACAACACAATTAAATCCATTCGTTCAAAACAAAGGAATACATATAGATCCACTGTTATCACAAGAACTACACCCTAGGGAATAGAGAAAGTGAGGATGAACTCAAGAGGCGAGTTTTTGGAGTGACGCAAGTGGTGGAAGAGGCTGAGGAGATTTTATGGATAAACCCTAATTGCTTAAAGAAACAGCACCGAAATTATGCAACTCGGGCGGGTGACGGATCAACCTCTATATATAGATAACCTTTAACCCGAGTCCGAACCCGAATCTGATTTTAATCCGAGATATTCCATCCGAATACTACCAAGATTTTAATTCGGATTTTTTAATTCGAATTAATTTTGAGTTTGAATTCATATTACAAATCAAATAAAAAAAATTACACAACTCAATCAAAACACAATACAAAGAAATTAAACCAAAAAATCCAAAATACCGTAACTACTACCAATGTCACCGCAATCACTGCCCATAGCCACCGCCACTACCACCACAATCGTTGCCTATCGCCACCACAGCCACTGCACACATAACCACCACACCATAACATTTTCCACACACCCACTACACCACAGTCACCAGATCTGATTATCGTTGTGGTCTTTGGTGCATAGCCACCAGATTTGAGATGCAAAAGCACTAGATTTGACCATCATTGTGGTCTTTTAGCACAAAGAAAGAGTGAAAGGGAGGTCGAGAGAGAGTAAGAGAGAGCCTGAGAGATGGAGAGAGCCTGAGAAATGTAGAGGGGTTGAGAACGAGAGAACTAGAGAGTCCAAGAGAGGCGAATGAGAGGTAAAGAGCAAAAACGAAAAATTCTAGTGCTAATGTTTTATATATGTTTTAATTTGTCGGATTTAGGTTGAACCCGATAATCTAAGGGTTCCATCCGGATGTTACCCAAATTTAATTCGAGTTGGAGTTTTTGAACCCATGTTCAACCCAAAAATTTAAAACTTCAACCCAAGCTCTATTTTTTCGAGTTAGACTCGGGTTGAAAATCGTGTTGGCTTACCCAAGTTGCACCCTTAGCACCGACTATAATTCAAATCCTCTCCATTATTACTTCGCACAATTTCACTTGATAGTAGATCAACCACCGTAGTATATGAATAAGGGTTCATATGTACATAATAAGTCTCACGTGAATATATGGTGGATGATTACTATTGAGTAAATTGTGTAAAAAATAATGGACAGTGCGTGAAATATTATGTGTGTGGCATTTTTATTTTTACCATATAAATTAATTAACAGGACTTTTTTTCTATTTTTTTTTTCTTATTATAATTTACGAAATAAATCAAAGCTTTTAGCTTAAATTATTCAAGAGTAATGTTATCGGAATATGAAAATTTGATATAATTTATTGATTTGATTATATTTCAAGTGATGGTCATACTAATACTATTGAATCATATCAGTATCACCAAATCTCAATATTATTTCTTGTAATTTCAGCCCTTGATTTATTAAAATTTAACAATGATCCAAATCATTTACATTTCACTACTTATTTTATTTATTTTTATTTTCATTTTTAATCACAATAAATCTATTAATTTATATTTCGTGTGTTTAATCATTGTGAATATGTGAACTATACTTACTTTTTAACCATGCTAAATATCTCAACCACACTAAATTTTATTTTTTTTGCTACAGAGTCTATGCTTACGCCGATTACTTTTGAATTCAACGGCTAACTATCATAGTTTGAGATGGGCCACACTAAATATTTTAAGAGTAATGCTAGACTGGCAAAAAAACAAAAGAGATATAAAACAGAGACCAAATGATATACAATTACTATAATAGTATTTTTTTATCTCGTTTTTACACATTTGAAATTCAAATTTGTTCCATTATAATAATGTTACATTAAATACTAGAGATTTCAAATTACATATCAAATGATTATAGACCCTTAGATCAGCGGATTCTGTAAACATCTAAATTAGACCACTTCTCACATTACATCATAGCAGCTAATCTCCACCTTCAAGTAAACCAACTAGACAATTATTACTCGGGACATGCTCGAAAAAACCCGAATTCTATCTACTTTTACACTCAAACCGTATATATTTTCACTGATTTGAACTAGTAACAACCCGAAATTTAGATCCTTCTTTTCCATCTGAGCTAGGAATATAAAGGGCTCTATGCTCTGGCTAAACATAGAGCCCTAGAATGCTGTTTAGGCTTCTCGGCGTGATTGTTCCAAGGGTAACTAGCCCGTCTCCGAAGGATGGTCTGCCGGTTGAGGTGCCTGGCAAAAATTGAAATGGGATCATGTAAAAAGTCACCCGGGGGGAGGAGGGGGGTTAGGAAACAAACAACTTTCATTTCATAGAAATGCAAATGCATAATGGTGGCTGAGAATCCATCCATTAAAGCAAAAAGTTTAAAGAACTTCACTTTATCCCACAACTACTGTCTTCTCCTCTTTAACTTCAAAAACTATGCAACTCCTCATCATCCACACCGCCAAAACAGAGCCAAAATTGCACATTTCCATAAGGTGAAAACTTTTTTACCGCTCCCAAGATCGTCAAAATGCACAATAATTAGAGAAACAGAATCACAAGGTGTAACCCAAACCAAATCGGCATCCCATAAAAGTTTATGCCACATAAAAAGTACTATAAATTTTTTAATTTGCCAATGTAATCAAATAATTCATTTTGTGTCAAGTACATTACACCCCTTCCCAAAACAAAACACACAAAAGCACGCACATGGAGACACATACATAGAGAGAGAGAGAAGCTTTAAATACCTCTTTTGATAGTTGAGCTTTTGATAAAGACTTAAGCTGGCAGCTTTCAATATTTGAAAGTAGCTGGATTACAGTTTTCAGATGAGGAACACTGCAATGGTAGAATCCCAAGTAAGCCAAGACAAAGAACTAGGAACAGAACGTCAATTAACATACAATAATTTTTTTGCTGACAGAAACATTTGTTTTTCCCCCTTCCCTTCTATACCTTTGGAGAAGTTTTAATTTTCATTGAAATTATAAATTGTCTACCAATGTTGAAAGTTACACAGTGCTGCAAAAAATATGCAGCTATTTGCAGATACAAGATTTCAATGGATGGAATTTTAAATTTCATATAATATTGGATATTTGGATTTTGGATTATTCATTTCGCGTTGAGTGATATTGTAATAATGTCATTTGATGTCCAAGAAGTAAATACAATAATGAGATACAAAAAAGGTAGAAAAGGCTAGTGGGCTGATATACTGCTTTTATAACCATTAAAACCGTAAACAGTAGTACTGAGTCCAGTGGGCTGCCTTCTATAAGAGCTTGAAAATACGTCTCCTATCCTAATTCAATAATTCAATCAATATATGACCATGTGATCTCTTCATATGATCCTAATGCAACTTTCCATTGCTTTCAATGATCTACAGAATACAATAGCAGTTCCCAACTTCAAGATTTAAACCTACAGATTCCCCAAAATTCAAGACACAAAAATCGCAGTAGTGCTCTATATATATTGGTTAGTATAAACAACAGCATACTGCATACCTGTACTGCCAGGAGGGGCCTACATTTGGAGGGTACGGAAGAAGACAAAAACAAACCTCCATTACGAAACTCAAATCTCTTATAAAAAGAACGAAAGCAGCTAATTCCTCAGGATAATAAAATTACAGATTCAGTTTCAGTCATTTCAGTCTATAAAGTGGCATCGCTACATACTCAAAAGAATGCCTTCTACCCTCCATCCATAAGCTCCGCATTAAACACAACAGAATAGCTCCCCATGATTGCTTGACTATCTTGGAAACATAACCTCCCTGCCAACAACCGAACAACTACCCAGCCAGTGTTGGCATAACCACTATACACCAAAAAGTCCAATACCATGTCCACCTTTCTCTAGCCATCAAACAATGCACCACAAGATCATTTTCTGCTCAGTATACACACAACAACAATTTGATATCCATCTGACCTCTTATTTGCTGCCAACTGTGTCCATATGGTGTTTTCAAGGAAAGTCAGAGGCTTTTTGACCACCTACCTATTCCATATCTCAATCCAGACTTCCCACTTTTGGTTCCCTCCCACTTCAGCTTGCCCTTCCTATCTGTACACAACACCATCTCAAACTCCTATTAACCACGACTTGCACAACACTCCACTTCCAATGAACCCTAAATAATCTACAGGAGTATTCTTATCAAGAACTGCCAAAAACATAGTTTTGTGATAATCAGCGCATCCTCACTACACTTAATGTTATGCCAAAATCCCACCACCACACACACACAAGAACCAACAAGAAAAAAAAAGAAACCAGAACAAACATATTGTGAAGCTAAAAGTTAAGAAAATTCATCCCACATCTCAATAATCCGTTTCCACAAACCTACCCCATAAGAGGTCCTACCAACCTGAGCCTTAGATATAAAATACATAGGCAGGCTCAAGAGAGTAGTAATACTCGGACTCTTCCCCCTACAGATATATTAGCATTTCCAACCCTTGTATGCACTGTATTTTTATAGCTCTAGAGAAGGCTGTGATGCACCAAGATCAATTCACATGTGAGTTTTGATCAGTTTTTACCAGATTTGTTTCACATTAAAAAGACACCATCTTTTCCACAGTTGCAAATTTAAACCTTAAAAGCTCTATTGAAAGACCAAAAAGCCTCGACAAGGAACTATCAAACAAAAAATAGCAATCATCACAAGGAGGTAGAGCGCAAAAAGATAACCATTGTAATCCATCGTCCATGTGTGCATCCAATGATGAAATTATTCGAGGCATCTGCTCTAATACCTTCATCAAATAAGACAGAAACAAATGGATAAGAGAAGCAGCTTTTCCCAGGCATCCCAGACTCGAGTTTGTTACTGTAAAAGGATCTGCATACCAGCTCAGTGTTTCTAATTGCAGAGGTCTTGGCCAAAAGGTTCTTTGGAAGCTTCATTAGTTGGGCCTGCAAAGAGATGGTAGATATAATCTCTAAGTGAGGAAGCACAATACGCCATAGGGTCGAAGCTAATCTACACTGTGAAAAATAATTAGGCCCGGACAGCAAACCTTAAGACAAATTGTAAGGAGTAAATTTAATTGAACACAGTTTCATGACAAGATACGAGAAAGCAATTTGCATTGAGATTTCTCCTGCTTTATAATACAACATTGCACTTTACTGAATCTTATTGCCCTTTAAAAAAGGCAAAGTAAGTCAAATTTTGTCAAATTTTCATCATTATTTAATGCACCCACTCTCTCTACCACATATTTGTAAATTTTGTATCCACCATGTGCGAAAGGAGAGTAAAAACTAGAGCACACAGATCCTTGGGGTCAGACAAACAATTTCTTGTTTAGTCCCATATCAGTCTAATAATGGCACCTTTCCTTCGTAAATCCTAGCCATAGTATCTTCCATCAAAAGTTCAATCCAATTCGGTCTTCATCTTAATCCAATTCACAACTTCCTCATCAATACAACCACTTGGATCTTATTAACTGACTAATGTTGCAATTTATCGGTCTCAACATTCTTGATTCAGCCATATTCATCTACTGATCATTTTCTTTACCCACATATTCCAACACAAGACGAGCAAATTCCCAAATTGATTTAATCTGTATATGGAAACATTTTCCACTTTCTACAGTATCAGCTAAGGTGTGCAAGCCAAGTAAAACCCTAGCTGCAGACATATGTATGTCAAGAAAAAAAAACCACCTTTTTATCACAATGTCGATAACTCTCGCACTAAAGCTTCGGTGTTCTGCCCAAGAAACAACCTCTTCATCGAAATCGTTCATACTTATATAATTTCTAACAGAAGATGAACAATTCTCAGGTCCTATACAACAAATACAGATAGATAAAGACTGTAATTCATCTTGCACCAAAATTCAATGGATTCAATTCTCTTAAAATTGCTCGAAATACTTACCCAAAAAAAAAAACATATCGTACAATGATTGAAAACCCGAATTTTTTCGGCGGAGAGAGAGAGAGAGAAGTGTGTTTGCCTGAGCAGGAGACGATTGAAGCATGAGGTGTAGGAGATTGGAGGTGGACTGAACAGTCTGAGAAATTTGATCGGCCACCATAGCTTTTGCTGATCCTTCTCTGCTGCTACTGTTTGATGCTGTTGTCGACGTTGAGGAGGCCGAAGCTGTCGCCATTTCCACTTTGCCTGAAAAGTGATGACTACACTGACGGACGCGGCGTGTTAGAAAGTGGGAACCAGAAATTATGGGAAAAGAAAAATGGTGAATTATAATTTACACCCAACAATCAAGTTGTGTAACTCACTCCAGGAGGTGGTCTAGTGATAATCTATAATGGGACATATTTCAATAATTTATTTGATAGTTTTAATTAGATTTATTTAATAATTATCAATATTTTTTTTAAAATTATTCAAATTACACCATATTTTTAGTTACGAATTATTCTTAATTATACACGTTTAAGGTCGTCTTTAATTTTAAAAAAAGCATGATTCATGAGAATAACACAATTTGATACTTAGCTTTGATATTGTTTATAGTGATGGATAATTTTTCTTAGTAATTATGATTTAAATAAGATAATTCCATATTATGAGACTTTCGTGATTATGCTAAGGAGATTATCATCTATCGATTGTTTTTTGTGACACAAAAAAAGAAAAAAAAAACAATAAGTTACAATTAATTTCAATCATGTCAAAATTTATTAGTGATTTTGACAAAAAAGGCACCATACAATTAATACTTGTCTCAATCTCATACATAATTTCAATCATACCATATATATGAGTTAAACCTATAAAAGATAAGTCAAGGACATTCAATTAAAGTACTCAATTAATATAAAATGAGTCAAAAAAAGATAATTTTAATACATAAACTCTAATTTTAGAGACAAATTATTGAAAATTAATTTCATAGTTGGATCAGGCTATACTCTCGTGATTGTTTTAATTGAGAGACTTAATTAAAACATAACATTAAACTTAAGGATTTGATTGTTTTAATTTATAGTCAAGAGAAATCAAGTGTAAACTTTAAGATATAAAATATGATTCATCCAAAACAAATTAGGAAATTAAAGGCTAACCCGACCCACATATTACTCATACGGGCAGCCAATTTCCCTTGTTTCTAATAATATTCTCTATTTTAGCAATAATTTTTTCTAAAATGAAAAAAATCTTTAGTGAAAAATTACAATAGAGAGTGAAAATTTATCAGAAATTCGAGTAGAACTTTTTATTATAGTAAAAAAATAGTTTTTAGAGTCAAAAACATTTATTGAAATATGTATATACGTCATCTTTTCATTTTTTCATTACAACATAGAGTTCTACTGGACTTTCCAATATCGAGAGCCAAATTAGAGTCTCTATTTTAATTTAGCCTAAACAGAGAGTATTGAAGATAATTTTTAAAGTTGACTCTCTAAAGTATAAACTAGAGTCCCACTTTGTGCGTATTGCGGTTGGTGTTTTTTGTAATCAGCCATTACTAAGATTATTTATCACAAGATTGCAACTTCTGCAACTTACAAATTCCCTGAAGCATCCTTTCACCATTATTGAACCTTGAGTTTCAGAATTCCACCAACTCTCCATCCCAACCATCGCACAGGCCTTCCATCCTCATTTGAGCACTGAGAAGGAAGAAGTGGCTGTATTAAATGAGAGTTCATTGCGATTTGAGAGTCCAACAGCCTGCAATGATCCTAATATGGGCACTCATCAGGGTGTCGGTCATGCTCGCCATGGCACATTCCACGCGCATTTCAGGCCAGACAATGTTACATTTACCACCATGGATCTGTTGAAGAGGTATTACGAATGCAGAAGGGTGTGTTTTTGAGTCCCATACTGCGATGGCCAAGGATCAGATCCATGTAGTGCCTGCATGGTTCAAAGCAGTGGAAGAGCTCTTGGCTGATGCTCTACCAGAGGTTTAGACATCAATAGTTCAATCATGCGAGCAAAGCTGCATCTAATGCCCTCCTCCCCCCATTTTCAAAGTCCCCCAAGGCCACCCCAAGGAAAAAACACACACCGACACACTGGAAAACAGAGTACAAAAGCTCACCGGCATAAGTACTGCACACACACACACACACATGGAGGAGAACAATAAGGGCCCACTCGGATATCATACCATGGCTGGATTTGAAGGCCTCATTTCCAGTCCAAGGCAAGTCATTGGCAACAAAAGGTCAATCAAAGTGAGGCTATTGGGATTGGTAATAAAAGAGAACCTAATAGTAAAAGAAGCTAGTGATTGACCCCAATATCCTTTTGTCATTCAAAAGAAAACAATAGAGGCTTCAAAATTGGATGATAATGCCTGTACATTTCAACTGCAAATTTGAAACAAATCTAAGAATTCTATTTTTCAAGCCTTTCATTTGCAGCTAGCAAGTGAATAGGAATAGGACTCCACATTCACCCACACAAAGAAACCAAAATGAGAAAAAAGAAAAAAGAATAAGAAAAAGAAATTTTGTAGGATGTTCAACAACTAGAAAAAATAAATCAATTTTTGCCATCTGGTATGTTTACTTCAAACACTCTCGGGTTACTTCAAACATCTGGTTTTTCTTTCTTTCTTTTTTTTTTTTTTTTTGGCAAAGGGGATTTACCAAGCAAGCTGCAAACTAATCATATTCTCTTTGCAGAAACGGGAGCACAAGGCTACAGAACCATGTATGAACACATTTCTGGCAATCTGTTTGCCACATGAACATGTGAATTCAATGGTGGAAGTAGTGTCCAATGAGGAACCTCATCATACAACATAGCTAATTGGAACCATACAAAATCAACATCAAACAAAACATGATTGCCATTACTCATCCAAACATTGTAGCATTGTGTTGGAAAGCTATACAGAATTTATTCTATGATTTCCGTAATGGATTGAAATAATTTAACAAATAACTGCCAAGTTTTCTCACAAAACATAGGAAGGTTGTGAAGAGCTTCCCATCATAGCAATCATCTACAAAATTGAAAGCACAAATAGTTCTGACCCATTATAAAGGAACCAATGCATTAGTTGTTGGCAATTTGATTACTATGTTCGTCAAGACCTCACTGATTCCTTCTCCACCTCAATACTTTTTGCTCTTCCACCACTTAAATCAAAGAGTTTTCTTCCAAGACCAAAATTTTCTTACGATAATTAGTCACTCAAGCTCAAATTATCTTTACCAGCTAATTTAAGCCCCCTGCCCCTTCTTTGAACAATAAGGAGACTAAGAAAGGACAGTTTATAAAGTACTATGAACATGATATCTTCCCATCAAAGATGTACAAAATAGACTCGAATAGCTATATTAGAAAACGACTTTTTTGCAACACAATTTTCATGAACTTCTGTAAGCTACAATGCAGTCAAAAGAAAGATAACACGAACTAATCCCACAACTCTTTTAATAAATTACAGGAAATTCAGTGTCACATTTACCATAGAAGCACTAGGAGATCCCAATATTCTGCTGATTAATCCAAAAGGCCTAAGCATGACATTATAAAACTAGGAAGGCTAGCTCTCTCCTTCATGAAAATACGTAGGACAATCTCAGTTGATACAATACAATTCTTATGTACATTCACAAGCAAAACAATGAAATACACAATGCACATTAAGTCAAACCTCATTAAGAGGAAGCTGCCTTAATAGCTCTCTGCAATTCACTCTCCACATCACTTACACGATTCCCATTCTTCTTCGCCTCTTTCCAACCATTCTCTTGCCCACCACTATTCTTGCTCCTCCACTGCTCAAACGCACCAGGATTTTCAAGCACTGGCAATGCCTTCTTTCTGACACCCTCAGCGCCCCCACGTTGATCGCTGGCCAAGTTCCCCAACTTCATTTCCTCCAATCTATGCTTCATCTCCCTATTATCTCTCTGTAACACATCCAGTTCTCTTCTCATCCATAAAAACATTCCTTTCATCAATTCCACATCACCTCCCTTACTCTTCTCTTTCACACCCTTCTCTTCCTTTGCCTCATGAATCCTCTCAATCCCAATCTTATTCACGCTCAAAACTGGCATTTGCTTCCCCAAATCCTCAGGGAAGTTCACACCCCACCGGAAATTTATGGCCACCCGTTTTGTGACGGGCATTTCCGTCCTCGCAAGCACCGAAATCCCCTTAAAAATGGAATTTTTGTGTTTATCAGAAACCATATTCAATTCCTCCCAATGCATAGGTCTCTCAATTGGTACAAACCCAAATGAATTCGAATCAACCCCACCATTGGGTTTAGGATTAGGATTAGGGTCTGGATTAGAAAAAGTGGTTTTTTTTGAGAGAGAAGGAACCAAGTTGGGGTTTGAAGTGGAGAGAGAAAGTGGGGTTACAGTTAGGGTTTTGTGGGGAAAATGATAAGTGAGCAGAGATGACAAGGGGTGAGTTGTTGGGTGACCCGAAGAGGCCGGTACCGGATTTGAGAGAGAGAGTGAGTGGTGATGTTGCCGTGCTGGAGGGGGAGGAGGTGGGGGTGGTGTAGGAAAGTTTCAGGGAGGGGCCAGAGGGGAAATTGGTGGAGAGAGAGAGGGAGATGTTGGAGGATGGGTCGGTGGTGGTGGTGAAGTGGGAGAGGAAGGGGTGGTTGAGGATTGATATGGGGATTTTGGCTCGGAGGAGAAGTGGGTGGTTCTCATGGTGGTTGTATTGGTGGTTTTGGTTTTGTTGGTGGTGGTGCTGATCTTGGACTTTCAAGGATAGCTTCATCTCTCGCTTTGAAACACACAAACACGCGACCACGATTTCTATCTGATAAGCTCCCCCCCCGTGTGTGTTAAAGAGCAATATTGACCGGACCGGTCATTAAACCGCTTGGGAATCGGATCAATGATTTACTAATACAACTGAGGGGTTCTGAAAATCTATATAATATATAATAAAATATAAATGTATTTGAATTTTATTCCACTCATACTTTTTTTTTCAAAATTATTATCAATCACTTATCTCAGTCATCATTCCTTTGTCAGATTTAAACGTCAAATCGTATAACTTATTTCTATAATATGTTTAATTATTTATATATTTCTTTCCTAAAAATATCACATCATTCATTTTTATCATATATTTAATCATTTAATATTTTTTCATATTAGTACGTCACTACTGATCAACTTTTTGGATGCTCGAATTTTATATTTTATCATGTCTTCAGGCACGAGTTATGACTAGTCTATATAATAAAATAAGATTTTGTTTGGATTTTATCCTAATTATATTTTTTTCCTTAAAACTATCACCAATCACTTACCTCACCCATTATTCTTTTGTCAGACTTTCTCTCTGAAAACTATCACCAATCACTTACCTCACTCATCATTCATTTGTCAGACTCAATCGTTAAATCACATTACTATTTTTATCACATATTTAGTTATTTATATATTTTTTTCTTAAAAATATCACATCATTCATTTTTATCATATATTTAATTATTTAATATTTAATTAATTTATAATTAATATATTTTAAAAAAATTAATATAGTGGAATCAATTTTTTAGACGCTCAAATTTTATATTTTATTGTGCATTCATATACAGATTATGACTAGTAAATATATATAAATTATAAAACATAATATTTTAACTAAAAAATACAAAAACATAATATATAATTGCTTAAATGAAATATATTAAATGCATTTTCTAAGAAATTCAACCATACAAAAACAAAAGAGAGTGGGAGAGAATCGTCTCTCTATGTGTGTGTAACAGAGAGAAAAAAAAAGGGGGGAAAGAGGGTTATGGTTACAAGCACGCTGGCAGCAAAAGGAAGGGAGAAAGAGGAAACTCAGAAGTTAGATTGCTGAGTGAGAGGAGACTCAGTCAAATCGATTGCTCGATCTAGAA